TTTCGTCAATCATTGACTGTGCACTTCATACTCTCTTTTTCGGACCAAAGTGGCTTAGGGGATACAACACCCATTGTGGTGACCTGGGTTCAAATCCCATCGATGGCTTGCGCCAACCACAGTGCTGACGTAAAATATCCTCAGTGGTAGACGGATCACGGGTCCCCTTGTCGTCATTCTAACCGTAAGAGATTTTTGTGGTTTTCCTCACCATGCAACGCAAATGCGGGCTTGTTCCATCCAAGTTCTCTGCGAAGGCAAATTTCTTCCAATACTTGATCCAGGAGTTTCCTTCTCTTCTAGATTGGACTCAAAACTATAAGGTTACGTAGTTGAACATAGGGAATCGTGAAACCAAATTTGGGTCGGCTGTTCAACGACGCTTATAAAATAAAATAAAATACTCTCTCATTCAAGTTAGAATGTATTATATCAGGTTTGACTTGTGGTTCGATCTTTAAGAGCAGAAGTCTTTAGGGCTTTGTATTTAACATAATCATACTGAAAAATTTAATTTCTTTGAGCGGTGCAAACATCTGTAACCTTTCCTTTTGCAACATATTTCTCATTTTTAGTCTTTTAGGTGTGACAATTGACAATTCTTTTATTAAGAGAGAAACCTCTTTCGACTGATGTCTGCCTATGAAAAATTGTAGGACAGACTTTGACAAGCACAGAGAGGTGACTGTATTGGGGAAGATTATGTTTTAATTCTAATAGATTCCCCTCATCTGAAACTTCTCCAACAGAATTTTCAATTATTACTTAAAGTAGTCCCGCAGTGGACTGATCGTTAAGACACGGTTCCCAGCAGATCACCGAAGTCAAGCATCACTGGCTACGGTCAGTGTGCGGGTGGGTGACCACTTGGATCAGTCTGCGTAGGGACCGAGGGTGTACTGTATTGATCATCGTTAAACTGTTCTACCGTAAAGTGCTCGACTTCACGTGCAGGTCGTTGGGCTACCGAAGCGGGGGTGCCATCCCCTCTGCAGAGGATCAAAATTGTGATTGTATGTCTTCGGATCATCCTCAGGAATGTTTCCCAGACCGTTGCCAATAGCCCATTGTGCAGCTCTAGTGCGACGTAAATGAACAACAACAACATTACTTGAAGTAACAAACTCATAGTGCAGATTTTACATTCTTTTATGAGGAGTAAATTCTGTACATTTTGTGCAAATGATATTACAGTACAGGAAGAAATATGATTTATAGGACTATTTCAGTCATGTAGGACAATATAGGATTTATTTTTTTACGATGTTAAAAACTATATAGGAAACACAGGATTTACCGGAGGACTTAGACCCATGTATATGCTTCTACATTATTACACAATTCTGTAATTAAATTTTTAAAAAAAAGAGGGTTATGGTTTTGAGTCTCCTTCTGGCTAAATGATTTCTATTATTTGATCAATAAACATCTCCAAATAATATTTAAGTAATAATAATAATATCAGTTTTTTTAAAATCTGATTAATAAACATCTCCAAAAGATGTTCGATACGATAAAAAGATGTTTACAAAAATTCAGAATTTTATACATCTTTCTTTATTATTTTGAATTCAATCTATCGCATATGAAAATCATGTAATCAATTAAATATTGTTTTAGAAATTAATTTGCCAATTTAATGCTTAAAAAAAGTAAGCTGTAATATATTAAAAATTTAGTGAGTTTTATCACCAATGAATCCATGCGACAAATACATTTAAATTAAATTAAGTGATTTAAATTATAGAAGATTACTATAAGAAATCCAATGTTTTTCCAATGTTGAGAAAAATATGAGCGAAGTTAACTTGAATTTCTCAAACAGTAAATTTCAGATTATTTTTCTTCGATTTAGAAAAAAAATATGTATTTGATTTACAAAGTCAAAGAATTTACTGGCTATTTTGAGAAATTGAGAACGATTTTTTATGATAGCCGAGTAAACAAAGTTTCAAACTTTAAAAAAAAAAAAAAAAGTAACACAATTTTTACATTTAAAGTAAACACTACAGAGTTTTCTTGCTGATTTTAAAATTTTTTCCATAACAAATAATGACTTTGAATGAAGTCAAGACTTGCTAAAACTTAAATGCTTCAAAAGACAACAAAAAAAGTTCAATAATTTGTTTAAAATGACAGTTTGTATTTTAAAAACGAATGTTAAAATGGTAGTTTTGTGCAGGAGGTCAAGCATTTTTTTTCCATAAAAAAATGGGCTAATACTCTTTTACTTAATAAGTTGCTATATTAATAACTGCCTTAATGAACTCCAATAAATGCAGAGTTATAAACTGCAACTGATTTTTCGGTAGAAAATTTTTACAAGAATATTAGTGTCTTAGTGAACTTAATTTTTAAAATTTATTCTGCAAATTCTTACTGACTCTCTAGAAAATTACGGCGCCCATCTTGGAGACCCAAGATCTAAAGCAGCGGTAACCATTTTTTTACAGCTACAGAACCCTAAATAATCGAGCATATTTAAATGGAACCTCCAACTTAATAATTAAAATCAGTAGCTGTGAATATATTAACTGAAAAATAACGACGAATTATTTTGATAGCATTTAATGTGAAGCATAAAATTTATTCAGTTATCGTTTTACCAAAAATAGACTTAAAATTATAAGTTTTATAGCAAACAGTTAAGTCTACAGGTCTGCAGTGACATTTAGACTCTAGTTTTGAATTTTTTTATTTTTTTTTTTTTAATTTTTGATGTATGCTCATAAGCTGAAAACGAATAAAGCGGAATTAATAGTTTTCAGAAAAGAACTGTTCTAAACATTTAGAATGGTAATAAAAAAAAAACATAATTCTTTATTCTAAAATTTGATTATGATCTTTATATTTCATTCATTACTTTCATTTTCATTTGTTTTTCATATTGAATCAAAAAATTCAATGAGCAATAATAATGCAATTTATTATAAATGCATATCCCTTCCATAATCTATTCAATACATTATTATTGGACGAAATATTTTTTTTAATTTTGCAAATGCTTTTTAATTGTTATTTCACTAAAATAATTTCATGAAACTTACCAAAATATCCAAAAAATTGTTTATTTAGAAATTAATATAATGGCTGGTTTCAAAAGGTGTTACTGGTTTAAAAAAAAATTTCAACTCTCGGAACCCTTGTGAGCCTTCCATGGAACTCAATTTGGAACTATTTCGTGAAACAGGATTTTGGAATCACTAATCTATAGCCTTGAATTTGAAACTTTAATTAAGTTGCACATCATAAATAGGAGGTTATATTTTTAAAAAAAACTTTATATAAGTATCGTGAATAAACTTAGATAATCCAAACAAATGATGGTTTGAACTAATGCAAAGTGCAGCAGTTTTTCTAACATTTCGTAGGGAAGCTTTTTATTCTGAACATAACTCAATATGGGTGTTAAAGAAAATGGGTGCAACTCAATATGTGTGTTTAAGAAGTTAAACATAACTATTTTTTTCAAAAAATGGGCATAGCATTTAATTCCATTTTTCAAACTTTTTTTATAAAATAAACTTTTTTTTTTCAATCGAATAANGTAGCTGTGAATATATTTACTGATAACGAATTATTTTGATAGCATTTAATGTAAAGCATAAAATTTATTCAGTTATCGTTTTACCAAAAATAGACTTAAAATTATAAGTTTTATAGCAAACAGTTAAATCTACAAATCTGGAGTGACATTTAGACTCTAGTTTTGAATTTTTTTTTAATTTTTGATGTATGCTCATAAGTTGAAAACGAATAAAGTACACGGAATTAATAGTTTTCAGAAAAGAACTGTTCTAAACATTTAGAATGGTTATCAAAAAAACATAATTCTTTATTCTAAAATTTGATTATGATTTTTATATTTCACTCATTACCTTCATTTGTTTTTTATATTGAATCAAAAAATTCGATCAGCAATTATAATGCAATTTATTATAAATGCATATCCTTTCCATAATTTATTCAATACATTATTATTGGACTAAATAATTTTTTTAATTTTGCAAACGCTTTTTAATTGTTATTTCACTAAAATAATTTCATAAAACTTACCAAAATATCCAAAAAAAAATTTATTTAGAAATTAATATAATGGCTGGTTTCAAAAGGTATTACTGGTTTAAAAAAAAATTTCAACTCTCGGAACCCCTGTGAGCCTTCCACGAACTCAATTTGGAACTATTTCGTGGAAGAGGATTTTGGAATCACTGATCTATAGTCCTGAATTTGAAATTTTAATTAAGTTACACATCATATGTTTTAAAAAAAAACTTTATATGAGTATCATGAATAAACTTAGATAATCCAAACAAATGATGGTCTGAACTAATGCAAAGTGCAGCAGTTTTTCTAACATTTTGTAGGGAAGCTTTTTATTCTGAACATAACTCAATATGGGTGTTAAAGAAAATGGGTGCAACTCAATATGTGTGTTTAAGAAGTTAAACATAACTATTTTTTTCAAAAAATGGGCATAGCATTTAATTCCATTTTTCAAACTTTTTTTATAAAATAAACTTTTTTTTTTCAATCGAATAAACTAACGGATCTAAATAAATTCGCAATGTTAAGTCATCCTTTTGTCTAAAGCATTTGCCATATTTTTTTAAAGGAGTCTTTCTTAAAAAGATATTAAAAGTTGACAGTTGTTCTTTTTACAAGGCTGTCACAGGTCCCAGATACTTACAACAGTGTGGTATTAAATTGATCCTGTAGGAATTTAGAGTTATTTAAAACCACTTTATCATTTAGAGTTCCGAATACGAAGAGATGCCTAAAAAAGTTTCATCTGTAATATATCTAGCCACCTCAACACTAAAGTCCATGATTTTGACCCGTGATAATGATGCTTAGAGTTTAAAGAAAGGAAAAGTAAGCATGAAATTCCTCTTTTAGTTGTTAAATTTGAATTATGTCCAGAAAAAAAGCTCATCAAGAGTCAATATCAAATTTTCAAGAGCTTTTAAAACTGAATGTGAAATAAAATGAACAAAAGATTGTAAAATACAGTGATTTTTATTCAATACATATAAATTATGAGATGAAAACATTAAATAACTATTAAAATGAACAATTTGTTTTTATATCTTCTGTACAATATTATTAAGCAGGCACATTTCTCTCTCCACCACTAAAAACAGTTTCTTTCTCACACTGAGAGAAATCGTCGCAACCCTCTCTCCCTCCCTAAAACTCAGATCAAATCCCCTTTAATAAAAAGTAACTCCTAGCAGAAAAAGTAAGCTGGTTACATCTTCCTCAAATCCAGTACAAACACCTAAAATAGATTTAGAACAAAAATTTATCAATTCATAAAAAAATATAAACAATTTAAAAAAACACTAAAAGACTGTACAATAAAACAATAAAAGACAGTCTGGTTAACTAAAAATACAGATAATTAATCAACTTTAAAATATATATCAGACAAGTCAATGTTTTGTGGTAAGTGCTTTATTCTTGTAGGGTAAGGTTAGGAAATTTTGCTGCTGGTTAGTTAGTGTTTTTTACAGTGGCCATTTTTTGAAAATTAAAAATTTTAAACAATTAAAAAAACAGTTTACATCATAAATGTAAGGCATTTCTCATATAGCGTTTCTCAAAATATGATTAATATTAGGAGGTTCATTTTTTAAATGAAGAAAAAATTTTAGAAAAAGGGTGAAATAAAGTGAATTTCAAACCATTATAGAATATTCAAAATAATTTTATATTTATTTTTAAAGAAAAATAAAAATATGAAAGAATGCATTTTGGCAAAAAGAAAGTAGCGATCAAATGTTGATTGATTGGCTAAAATTTTTAAATTGACATTTGTTAAATTAAATTTAATCGTCCTGTAGCCAGAGGTGATATCGGCCCTAAAACAACAGTTTGCACCCAGTTATCTGAGCAGGGTGCAAAGAAAACACTGATGCAAGTGAAGAATTGATTTGAAAAATAAAATTGAATGTAAGAAGAAAAGCACTTACACTGCCATCTGAAGCACTAGCACCAACTTTGTCACCCCTGGAATTCCAGCAGACTTCAAAAATACCACCAGACCCCCGAAAGCTGTTGATTCGTTGGCCAGTCTACACACAAGAAATCAGACATTAAACATTTAATATACAACACAAAATGTCTCACAATAAAAACTTTTAGAATTAAAAGTTGGAATTTCTTATCTCTGCCACAAATCTAGAGAATAAATTATTTAAAATTTTTCCAATATTTAAAAAAAAAAAGATTTTATTGATATTATAAAATATTCCACTCACAAACATTTTTATAACACAAATAATTTTTAATTTAAAATAAATGCATTTAAATTTTTACTAAATGAAGGGGTTCGTTATAAAGCTTGCCATTTTAAATACACGGCTTGATCAAGAACTCGATTTTAAATACACCACAAGAGTCAGAATTGTGATTCATTCAGGCAAGCAACTTTTCGAACTGAAAATTAAAAAAAAAACAAATGCAATTTCAAATAAGTTTTTATTTTAAAAAAAATTTTAAGTCTGCATTTCTTACTTTCTGGCTCAGTTTATAATTAACTAATTTAGTATTATATCATGAGTAAAAAAAACATACCAGAAAGATTGCTTGAAGAATATCAAAAAGGGATTCTTACACAATTACTAAATAAATGTTGAGTACAACAAAGAGAAAATTTAAAGGCATCTATAAATGAAAAGTATGTAAATAGCTGAAATTTATTTGGATGATTAATGAAGTAAACAGTTTATTATAAAGCATCAAGAAGAAGTGAAAAAACTAACTCTGTATAGAAAAATTTGATAGAAAAAAATAGTCTTGAAAAACCTGGCTAGAAAATTATTAAAAAATAATAAAATTTAAATTCCAAAAAAAATTTAAAAAAGAACTTTGAAGAAGAAAAAAAATCACTTCTTTTCCATAGCAAGGCCTTATTTTAATAAGAAATTAAATATCTGAATGTTTTTTAATCATGTAGATTCATTTTTTGAACTGCACATTTTTTCACAAAGTTGGTTTCTTCACTATAAAATTAAAAAAAAGCACAGAAAATTAAAAACATGCCACAACTTCCAGAATAAAAAAGAAAAATAAAGAGAATTTTATCGAAATCAATTCATAAAATAGAAAACTTACAAACAAAAAATGGTTCATTGACTGCTTATAAACATTAAAACATAACACTACTTACTAACATAACCCTATTCAAACACTAATAACATGATGTAGTATTCAGCAACATATTATATTAAGCACAAAAACATATTAAACTTGCTTGGTAGCATCATTTTGCACCTTTTACTTGGTTGCATTTTTTTATTAAAAGTTCTTTCTCGATTAATTACTTTAAGATGGAATTTACAAATCCCTATTAAAAACCTAGTATATTCAGTAAAAGTTCAGAATTTTAAAGTCATTTAATACCAAAAAATGTATAATTAATAAAATTGTGAAGTTTCCTTAATATTTTCGAATTTTCTCGACAAAATTGGCTTAGTTGAGAAAGGTATAATTTGAAGATTACCTGTGTTGACCAAATGTGAACACACTTATCAAATGAACCACTGGCCAAATACTTTCCATCAGGACTGAAAGCAACACTATAGACTGGCTCTGTATGTTGGGTCAATGTATAGAGACATGCCCCCCTCTCCACTTCCCACAGTCTCACAGTAGAATCAAACGAAGCACTGAAATAATCAAATTAAAGCAATCAATACATATCCATACCATTTTTACAAAGTACAAAAGTAAAGCATTCCTGAAACAGACCAATGTGAGCAGACAGTGTCATGGAGGTTAAGGCTCCACAATTTCATGATCAGCCGCATGACTAGGGCAATATCATGACCATTGCACAGAGGCTGCCTTTACTTCACAGACAAGCTGGTATCCATTGATCTGAGACTGGGCCACCACTGGGAATCAAACCCCAGTCTTTGACAAAGATAGTCCAGTACCTTAACCACAGAGCCATCGCGTCTCTTTCATAAAGAGCCACGATGGCCCAATGGTCTCAATGACTCTTTCATAATATAACATTAAAAATTATTATAAGTTAAAGAAAACATTTCTTTTATTTTTCTACAAACATTATTGATGAGGTGCATAGACAACTTAAAAATATTATTTTAAAGCAGCAATCGCTAACCTTGTGATCTTTATGCACCACCAAGTGAAAATTATTCATTTTTGAAAGTGGAATAAGTCCATTTGGAATTAAAAAGCATTTTTTTAAGATTTTAATAATTAATTAAAGTTTAAACAAACTATAGTATTTAAAACAAAAACTAAATTTGATTAACCACTGCCAATATTTTTAAATTCATTCAAACGCAAACCCCTAAACATCTCGGTACTAGAAAAATGGACTTAGTCCACTTTCAAAAGTAATGGCACAAATATTTAATATCATGGATCATCATTTCATTTTTTGGTTTTTAAATGCCACAGTTCAAAATAAGAGATGAATATCAGTCAATTTTAAAAATTGTAATAATTAAAAAGTTATTTAATTATTCACTTTATATTATCAATGAAATTTTCTTTTAAAATGAGATCCAACAGCAGTTACCAAATGGGAAAATTCAAAAAATAGAATTCAAATCATAATTATGAGTAATCAAATTGAAATAAATAATTACAATAAAAAGAAATAATATTCAACCAGGATGATTTTAAAACTTTACATCACTAGGAACTTCAGAGGAAATTTGATTGGCTAAACTAAAGTTAAGATCACGGTTCGTAAATATTTTCGCTAATTTAAATCATTTTTTCACATACCACCAATGGTTAGAGGACCACCATTTGGTAACTGCTGTTCTACAGGACAAAGTATTGTGAAAAATTTATACAATTCTATCGCTTACTTTATTTTTTTTTTTTACCTACAACCAAAGATAACTCAAAATATTCTAAAAGAGACTAGAAACTAAATTTCGAGCTTATCTATACCTTTTTCAAAGATCTGACTCCTATAATATTTTCCCAAGCAAAAATAAAGAAAAATAAGTGTAAACATTATCCATATCTAGCTTGATTACTTAAAACATTTTGAAAAAGAAAGTACAGCTCATCAAAAGCAACATTTTATTTGAAGCTGAATGAATGTTTAGGCATAAAAAAAAAGCAATTGATTCATTTGAGCAACAAAAAAAAAAAAAAAAAAAAAAAAAAAAAAAANATTGAAATTTTTTTTCAGCAATATATAGAATAGTTGTACATATGGAATTATAAAAAATTTATAATCAAAAACAAAATAAAGTATTAAACGACATGTACCAAATATTACTGCAAATATTTTCTGCTTGTGAAAAACAAAATATGGAACCGAATAAAAAAAAATATGCTTATAACTTTTTACTCTTTTAATAGGCCAATTAGTTCAATATTTTTAAATTTACAATTTTGAATGATATAAAGAACCAGTAATATTAAATTAATAGAACTCGGGAGCCAGTATTTGAGCCTAACATTCCACTAAAACTTTCTCTGAATTCTTGAAAAGTACTGAGATTATAAAATATTAATTTCAAATTACAAATTTTTAAATTCTTTTTTATTCTGTTTTTTCTTTTGCTTCATAAATTCCTACTTCTTTTTTTTAATAACCTACTACTTGGAGTTATTGTTATTAATCTAGCAACCAAAGAATCAAAATGTTTATGCAAACCTTTTTTCGAAGTCAAACAAACTAAATTTAATCCTCTCAAATGTGTGCTGTGATTTAGCATTTTCACCCGAGTTATGAAGTTGGTAGTTGAAATGTACAGATCTGAATCTTTCTTAGAGCATGAATCTGACTTATACTCTATTAAAATTTTCACCAAACACACCAAAAATACTAATATTATTATTAAATAAACATTTTTATTTATTTCATATAACTTATGAATAGAGATTTTAGTATTTTATTTAAAATTATATTTCAGATTATAACATTTAAAAAAATAAACTTTAAAAAATTATACAAAATACTGAAATTGAGCAAAAACATTTTAGAAAAAGAGCTAGATATTGCATTACATAAATATTTGCAAATACATTTACCAAATTGTTAAGCACTTTAAAAAATAAGTTTTTGAGATATTTATGTTTAATACTGTAAGCTAATCTTTAACATCCGATAAATTTCAAAAAAAATATTCAACAGTATGTAGAGAATAGTTAAAGGGAACAGGAAGGAATAAATCAAATATTTTTTGCTTCAGTATTTTTTTAAAGCTAAAACAAATCTTTAATAAACATGCCTGTAGTTTATCTAAGACTGAAAAGTTCATCTAAGACAGAAAAATAAAAAAGCAAAATGAAACTCCACTTTTTTGACACACTGTTTCATTGATAAAAATGTGATTCATTTTACATTAAAAAAGTCACACACTATGGTCAAGTTTTAATTTCATTACCCCACTGACGGTATTGACATTTTAAGTTTAAGTGCTTTCAAATGTTTACATATTTTTTTCTTTTTTTATACAACTGATAGGCTTATTTCCACCACTCTCTAATCAGAAAACTGATGCATGAAGAATGATTTTTTCTCATTACTAACTCTAGATAAAAGGGCGTTTTAGCCCCAAAAAAAACAGACTTTTTCTATGTGCAGGACCATCTGTAGATAGAAAAGGGAGTGCTGTTCTTCATGTGTGCTATCATTTGGATGGATAAAAAGAAACAGGAATTTCTACATGCAGAACCGCCAGTGGGTAAATAACTTACTTTTTTCTTGAAGAAAAAAAATGGAACATTCAATCCTTTTCTGGATGATAAAAAAAGGCAAAGGGCAATTGAAATTTACTTCTTGTCAAGTAAATTCTCAATTTTGAGAACATTTGATAAAAATGTAACCATTTACGCATTTGTCAGGCTTCAAAAAAATAAAACAATTTAATCCTGAAAAAAAAATAGAGAATTGCATACATAGTTGAGGGAATACCTGGCTAAAATTAAGTTCATGTTAGGATTGTTGGTACCAGGTCCTGTGGGACTCCATTTAATTGTATAAATTTCTTTATTGTGAGCTTGGAGATCATGTACACATGTATCCTGCTTCATGCTCCAGATCTAAAGATAACATAACATAAACATATAGAATAACATATCACCTTCTGAGCAGTAAATACTTGATCTTGAAGACAATGTGAAAGAAAATTTATTTGAGAATGTTTAAATTAAATTTTAAATATTAAATTGCTGCTCAACTTCAACAGCAGAAAATTTTTTTCAATAAAGAAATACTCCTCGTAAAATTTACATTTGAATTTCAAAACACTGATGAGTACCCATAATTATAAGAATGTATAAGTGCAATTAAATCTCCATTATCTGAAAAATTGGGTGATCTATTTTATTTGTAATTGTGGTTTTGAATAACATTTTGTAACAACAAAAAATTATTTGAAAAATAATTCAGAATCTTTAAATTTGATTTTACTTCTAAGATAAAAAGTTGCTGAAATTTCTTGTCCTTCTTTAGCACAAAGGGATGTGCTACCTACCAACTTGTTCACCTTAGTTTAATCCCTTGCACTATTTTCGCGAGTCTGACTCGTGATGAAAAATTTAGGCCGAACGTGAATATCACGGATCTGGCTCGTAATCGACATTTCAGGCCAAACATGAATATGGCAAGCCGAACTTGCAGTCTTAATCTCGGGTTGAGCAAGAATGTCAAGTATCTCTTCCTTGTATGAATAGGTATTTTATATCTTGTCTGATAATGCAGTTTACGTGCTACTTAGGATACATGGTTATAGTTCAGATAACACTTGAAACCTAAGCAAACATATGCGTAAGATATCGTATTTAAAGTTCTGACACTCGGGTTCCGTCGTTTAAGCTGTTTTCGGGAAAATTCGGGTACATAAGGTAGGCACGGCGTGTTCTGAATTTCAGCGTAGTGCATGGGGTTAAAAGCAAAAAGCATGCAAGAGTTAGTTTAGGCACAATGTAAAGAAATGTCGTCATTTACAATTACAGCTGTTTTAAATCTGTTAAATGAGAATAGATAAAATTGCTAAATTTATGAGTCCCCATTAAAAAAAAATACCTAATTGTTAACTAAAGTGTATAAAATAAAGTTAGTTAAATCAGGGTTCACTGCAACCTGGCATTCTCTATATCATGGGTTCATTAGAGTGGGGTTCGACTGTAATAATCACTTAAAAAAGAAAAACCACAAAAGTTTAGAGTTTTCCTTTGTTTTTAATGGAGATAGTATAATAGTACCCTCTTTATAAGCATATATAAATCATGTCATTATAAATTTCAATACTTATGTAATTATCACATTAAGTAAAATTAAAATTACCTTCAGAGACATGTCATCTGAACAAGAAGCCAATAATACTCCCTGTGGATCCCACTTGATTGCATTCACTTCATTCTAGAATTTAAAAGCACTTCAATTAATAACAAGGAGTTAAAAATCAATAAAAGTAAACATAAACAAAATTAAGGAAGCATAAAAGTAATAATTTAGAGTTAAAAAATAAGCAATAACAAATAAAATTATTTGAAAAAATCAAATTGCTTGACTGAATAAAAAAATACAGAAAATCAACAAAACACAAGTAGATTAAATTTTTAAAAAATCAAAATCAACTTGATAAATAGCAAGCTAAAATTTGACAATGATAAATTGAAAGCAAAATCAACTTGATGGGCATAAATCAACTTGATATATAAATTACCAAACTATGAAACCAGCAAAATACTCAATCGGATTAATTTCAGGTTTAATTTTAAAAAATAAGTATTATGTATTTTTAAAGCATAATCTAAATCAACACAAAGCTAGAAAATTCACTTCATTAACTTAAAAGTACACAAAGAAAGGAACTTAAAGTACTCAAAGATTATTTATTAATCAATGAAAATTTTTCATAGAAAACATTCAAAACAAAAACAAAAGATATCAAAAAAAAAAGGTATTCACTTACTGTGTGCCCAGTAAATGTCTTAATAGGCTTATCCACATCTAACTTACAAACATGAATACATTGGTCAGTAGAACAAGACGCAAAACTAGTATTAGTTTGCCAATCTACATCCAAGGCAGGAGCTACAATAAAAAACACAGGAAACATTTAAAGGATTGATTATATCTTTAATAATATATATATATATATATATANCCTTTTATTACACATTATTCAAATAAATGACTGAAAAATATTATGTAGTAGCAAAAAATGTATTATTTTTTATTAATCTTTGTCCTGCGTACAAAAAAAAATAGTAATCTTTGGCTGATGAGCAATCCTCAACATCAGATATGGAAAAACCTCCTGACTCTTAGATAATTTTTCCTGAATTTCTGTTATTCCGCTTTTTAAACCTGTCTAACCTGCCATTCGAGCACATGAAAGTAGTCTCACAAAATCGCTTAGCAAATTCATCAACATTTGTACAGATACTTCGATTGGTGAACTACTTCAGTAATGCTTCTTCAACATCCTTGTGATCTGCTTTTCTCAACTTTTTTCAGCCATCTAAATTTTTTTTATCAGCAGAATTTATTAATTGCCTATTTTTCCATATGTTACAAACTGCAGATTTGGATAGTTTATCAGCTTTGCAAATATCAGCTTGATTGCATCCATTTTCAATTTTTCTGATTATGCCCATTTTATCATCAACGCTACATTAATGGAGAACATTTTACGTTTACTGCTCGCCACAGTTAAATTTGAGACACATGTTTGCAGGATTTTTTAAACTGAACTGAGAGCAAAAAAGTGTTGAAATGAGGGCCTTATCAACACATATTAGTGTCCAACCCTTTGACCAATAATGAATAATTGCTCATTCTCTCTGACAGAAAATGCATATTGATTGGACTGACACCTCACAGGGGAGGCATCCTCTGCCTGGGTTGGAAACATCTGCTTTGTTTGTTTAGGGCTGGGAAAATGAGAAAAAAGAAGGAAACAAGAAAAAATGCTTATCGCTACATTCCCCTCTATAGTTGATTTTGAAAATCGGTATATGTATTTATTTATTTCATTTTATTTTTTTTTTTTAAATCAGTTGAAGACAGAAAAAAGTTCATTATATCCAACTTCCACACTTTTTTGGTTCACTATATCCACACAAAATAACATTATCCGTGTATAGCAAGGACGGGACCGAACATTTCGTTCACTATACCCAGGAGTTCACTATAAACCGTGTTCACTATAGCGGGGTTTGACTGCGTATATATATATATATACTAAGTGTAGACATTCCAGTTTATAAAATCAGTCTGTTTCAATATCAAATATTCTCAGAATAAGCATGATTTTCATATAAGGCACGCACTGTATCTGAAATTGGAGAAATAATTGGTAGTTTATTGGTACGATTGATGATTCGGTTTTTTAATTTCGGTGTTTCAGTGTTTATTATAATTGGGAATAGCTACATAGCTTGTGAATAGCATTTGCCATAATTTCTCACCTGTTTTCCCTTTAACTTCACATTTAATATTTAACCTAATGATCTACCTATGGTATTATTGTGGGTGAAATATATAAGATCAATTGCTGAAATGGTGATAAATTTTGGATTTAAACGAATCTTCATTTGTGTTTAAAACAACTTAAATATCAAGTTTGTCTCATCTATTGAAGCTTTTATAGAGGCAGGAGAACAGACCTGTGAAAATGTGCACACTGCATAAATTTGAGTGTATCTCAGCACCAAAAATGGGGGTGACCCTTACAAAACAATAAGGTGTTTTTAAGGTTGACAGATGTAAAAAAATAAATCCTGAGGAAAAAAATGAGGCTATGCTTTGCACCAAAAATAACCTCATTGATAAACCTCATAAATAACTCAGAAATAATTTCAGTTTAGATCGGGTGAAATCATTCACACCTCAAACATAGGTATTTGCATGAAATGTAGAAAAAATAATCCGTACACCTCAAAAACAACCTCCCTAAGCTGGGTTGCTCTATAGTAGATTTCCAACAACCTCAAGTGTGAATAAAACAACTTCATACACCTTTATTAGGAAGGGATCCCTCTGGGAGGTTAATCTTTTAAGGTTGTTTTGTAAATCAACTTTGAATAACCCTCAAAACAACCTTAAATAATATACCTTGAATTTCTGTAAGGGGAATACTGGTGTAGTGAAACAATACAGATAACTTTTGGTATGTAGTGTAGCAAAATGGGACAGTTACTAGTGTACTGAAACACCAAGGGTATTTAATTTCTCTACTTGACGTAATGTAGTCAACACCATTTTTAGTATTCAGTAACACTAAAATTTATAACTACAGTAATATACGATACACATAAGATTCTGTTAAGTTATTTTTACAATACAATATATAGAAAGGAACAATGATTTAGGATGCATTTGTTAATCAAATATATGCACAGTAAAGAGAATATATTATTTTGAATTTGAACTAGACTAAATAAAACTGAAGTGGAAAAAAATTAATTGATATAAATATATTTAATACAATTGAGAGATATTGAAAAAATAAAATATATTTATCCTTATTACAAACTAAAAACATACATACTTTTTTAAAGTGTACTTGTGTGATAAATTACTGTTTGTGACATAAATGAAGTTTAACCACTGTTAGGAAAACAATAAAATTTTAATCAAAATTTAACCTCATTAGTCTAGACTAATCACCACTACATCATTAATCATTACCACTCATCATAATCATGATAATCATCATAATGAGTGGTAATCATTTTACCACTTCTGGCATGATTTCTCCCCAACAAATCAAAAGTCTTTTAAAATTGCTTACATAGAAAGCAAGATTTTCCAAATTATCCTTTTAAGTGATATCTCATTTGAAATCTAAATGTTTGTAAACATTATTGGCTTTTTAAAAAAATACTTTCCTTAATGAAAGGTGGTAAAAACTGATGTGAGCAAATCAACATCAGAACATCCCGTAATTACTTATTATTACAATTTAACAATATGTCTACTTATAAAAACAAATGGTGTCAAAAATAAAATAAAATGAAGAAGGATACAGTTGCTGTCGATAACTTACCCATGTGAAAAGCAAACTGCTGCCTGCATTGACCAGTACCCGCATCCCATATAATAGTAGTCTGAAAAAGAAAGAAATCAGCTTTTAAATTCTCGATATATATTCCTTAAATAATATAATAAAATATTATTTTATTTGTAAATCAGATCAGAATAAATTTTAATAAAAAAAAGTTATTCTCAATGAAGATTATAACATCAAAGAAGTAGACTTGCTCAGAGTCTCTGGAGTCATGGACTTGGTTTAGTTCCGCTAACCGTGTGGGCCAACAACAACATCAAAGAAGTGTTATATTTCAGATATTCTTTATCTTTATATATTGCACTATCTGTTTTTATTTAGTACAAGAACTCACATTTTATGCATGAAATGAGAGTTATGAGTTTTCCTGTATAAAGAATAATACAAGAACAAGTCTATGAGAGCAAGTCTATGAAACCAGATACTATGTTTTCTTGTAAAATCCTTCATTCATGATAGTATAAAGAATTATATCATAATAACAATATCATTGTTATTTATGATAACAATATTTTAGTTGTAATTTATGATAACAATTGATATTAATTTTATCATAAATAACAATTATGATAAAATAACATTCAAATTTTAGCACCATAATTTAAGTAAAAATATGCAACTCAAGTCTGATTTGATATGTATGTTAAACAAATAAAAATTATTTATTTACTAAGTACAAAATCAATACAATTTTTTGAACAAATTCTCCAGATAATGCAGATTTTGATACCATTTCTCATTTTCAAGTTTTTCTTCATAAAAAGAGTCATGTTAAAAAAAGAAGTTGCAGAATTTAAACAAATTTGACATTTCAGAAAAGAAACAAAGCAAAATTATTGAAAGTTTTTTGTTTTTAATTTTTACAAGAACGAACCATTAGGCAGAGAGGCCAACAACTGCTCTGGATTCTACACAATATCTTAAAAAATGTTTTAGAGAACTATAAACTAAAATTTGCAGATTTATAGTTATTTTTGCCAACTTATTAAAATTCTCAACAGAAAAAATTTTGCAAAAGTGATATTTTATACATATCTTTGGATTATTTCGAAGTAGAGAAGGGTAAAAACCTTGCAAGTTGAAATTACTAGTCCAAGAATTACATATTAAAACATAAAGTTGCCACCAATAGAAAATATTAGTCTGCAATACAGAATAAGTTGCCATCTCTACAGACTACTGACTCTCTATATCCCTACAGACTACAGCCAAAATACTTTGTGCTGGTAAAATGCAATGTAATTAATTTAATGAATTTAGATTACATAAAATTTGAATTGATAATTCAAATATAAAATGTTTATTGGGCAAAACTGAAGTTAAAAGGCTATGTGAAATTGCAGTTTTTGGAAGTAGGTTCATAAAAGTTTTTAGATAGAAAAAAAAAGAGCTGAAATATGCATAACATAAAACTATTTAAACATGTTTACAAATTAAGCAATGATAAAAAAAATTACATTGATAAGCATTTTCAATAATTTCACTTAAAGTTAAGTGAATGCTTCTTTTATTCATTGTTTCAAATTGCCATTACTTACTAAAGCATCAACTGGAATCATTTCTTACTAATAAGCAATTTAATAATCTCTTAAAAATTCAAATTCGGTTTAATAGGTTTTAAACAGATCTTAATATTTTTATTCAAAATGCATTAATTTTGAATACAGCTAAAAGAAATTTATTAACCTCAAAACCCCTCATTTCTACATATTAGAAATTCTGAGATTATTGAGTTGTTATCAAATCATTTAAATCCATTTTATCAAAGATTAATTCAAATTTTTGAAACAATCTTGATACAACTCGCAATTCAGATTGGAAGTTGTATACTTATTGATACAAACTTATACTTATTGGAAGTTATATTTAGAGATTATTGAATCGTAAAATGGATTGAAATTATTTTAATCCATTTTATCAGAGATGGTTTCAAATTTTTTAAACAATCTCCATCCTAGATTTGGTTTATATGGTTTAAAAATGACAAATAAATATACAACTCTCAATTCAGCCTTATGAAATTTCCAGATGTGAAAATTAATTAATCAAATTTAATCAAAAAAATCAAAATTAATCAATAAAATTTTTTTCTTAAAAAAAAAATTTTTTTTAGCAACAAATCAGGTAAAATAAATAAGTTACTTCAATCACTTTTGTACAATTTGTGGATTGTCCCAGAAACCAAAATATTTAATTTTTACAATTTTAAAAATGTTAATTTGTGGTGGAAATCAAGAAACAAAAAAAAGTTTGCAAATACGCAAATAAGTGGCACATCTAAATAAATAAAAGACTAAACATATGACTAAAATAAGTTAGAAGATGAACCCAAAGTAAGTAGCTTTGAAAAATTAAAATTAACTGTGGTTGATTTTAGACTTTATCAGACAATACAGTTAATGATTTGTTTGTTTGTTCTACAAGACTGTAGGAGATTTTGTTGAAGATACACAGTCGAACCCCAATTGATGATCTCTCATAGGACAATTCATTAAAAAAGATAGGTACAAGAAAACAACGAATGCCGGTTAACGTAATATATAAAATAACAGCTTGAAAATATAAGAAAAATTAATAAAAAAGTACTGGACTTCAACGTTAATAAATTTGCAATGAGTGTAAAAGATTTTAAATAAAAAATTACATACTTATCGCAAAAATATTCATGATGCACATTTATTTAAAACATTCTGAAATTTCTGTTTGAACACACTCTTTTCTTCTCAGTGCAAACATAAATTTTTTAGCATTTGTAACATGTTGCTGTTGATCATCTATAAATTAGTGTGAATACAGAAAATTCTTCAATGATTCAAAGGCTTCAGGGCGTTCATGTTGTGAAGTTGTGATTTAGTATTTGCCACTTTCATCGATATTACTTTTCTTTTCTTAGTTACGGTTTTTTTTTCTTTCAGAACTGACAACACCACAAGTTCTACATTTTTATCGATTGATACAGAATCAGGATAATATTATTAAAAAATCTCAAAAATTCTAACCCAAATTGAAGAAAATAAGATACTCCAAATAATTTTGTAAAACTTGTGGATGAACAGTTAACATGAGCAGTTCCAGAATTATAATTAACTCTTATGATGAATATTGGGTAAAAAAAAATTTCTGAGGATCCATGAAAGAATATGCTTAATATTTCTTAAGGAAAGTAGGTGATAACTTTTCTGCACAACCACCTAGAGATTACTTCAATTTTTTCAACCCAACTTTGTTTCACATACAACAGAAACTATATTCAAAATATACTACTAACACTAAAACAAAAATAATAGTTACCTTGTCAACACCAGCACTAAGAATGTAGTTTCCTTTTTTGTTCCATTTCAAAGCAAATATTGGACCTTTATGCTGCCCTAACAAGTTAGCTAATTTACCTAAAAAATTAAAAGTAGATTTGATTCATATTTCTCTGTGGAAAACTTTTTCTTGATTAGTGTATCTTAAAATAAAAATATGGAAAACTGATTTTTGTACCTTCTGTAGTCCACATTCTAGCATAACCATCATATGAACCGGTAGCAAGCAATGTTCCATCCGACTAAAGAAATTGAATATCAAATTATCAACAGCAAATACACATGCATATTTTAAGAATAAATCATCTCAATTCAGAATGTTTAAAAATTTATATAAACTTGGGAAATCGTTTGTGACATTAAGAAACACTGTACACAACTTACAAATTTGAACTTAAATTAGAATTAACAAAATTATACATTGCTAAAAATCTAATATTTTATACTAACTGTAGCTGGTAACTGTATTTAAGAAACAAATTTATGGAAGGAAAAAAAAGATTAAATCTGCTTTTATTTTAATATTAATTCAATAACAGAAAAAACTACCATGTCTTATGTTTTCAGTTTCTATTTGGATTCTTCAAATTTAAAGTAAAAATATTAAAAAAATCTATGCAACCTTTTTTATGTAGTAGCTGTTAAGGCTAAGAAATTGTAATAAAATGAATATGTAAGGTTCCTAAACTGTATGATAAAAAAATGTTCGTAAATGTGTATGATAAAAAAAATTTGTAAGAAATTATGCCTAGAGAAAGCAAAGTCTTGCACCTACAATTAATTTTTTAAAAAAAAACCATTAGTATGGAGAGTGAGTGCTAATTAGCACTCACGAGATCAAAGTTGGGAAAATTATTAGCTCTTATAAAATAAAAAAATAATAATAATAATTATAAAAAAATTAATCTTTTGATAAAAAAAATAAGGAATTCAAATTTCAGATAATATTTGTGACCATGCAAAATTCTAAGAAAATAAATGCAATTTAGTTTATTCAACATTTATACTCTTTTGCAAGTTAAGAAAAGACCATTGCAGTATAGAATTTAAGTAATCATCCGCAACTACACATAGTTTTCAAATTATACAAACATGCCATCAAAATAATTTAAAAACTTTTAAAAGCTAAATACATCAAACAGAAAGTTAATCTGTGCTATCTTTTATGCTATATATCACAGAACTATTAAAAAAAGGTCATAATAAAAAAAGTCTTACTGGAATCCTAGACTTGGCGACATATTTCAATAGATAAGGAGAACATTCGTTCTTGTAAAAGAAACAACTACAAGAGGTTGCAAGAGCTTTGGATTTGATTCGAACACTAAAAATGACGTGCCTTATGCTGACTTTCCCTTAACAAATCAAATGCAAGTTAATGAATTTTTATTTTTGCTTTGCTCTAGAAGAAAATTATTTGCAAGAAACAATATGATTCTTTTAGAATATTTTTAAATGCTAATAGAAAGATATAAGTTTTGTTTTCCACAATTCACAAGATTTATGAAAGGAAGCCAAAAGAAGGATGTGCAACGTCGTTTCTAGAGTTGGCGATGTTGATATACATTCATGCTGGGAGCATGGCATCCATTTGGCATACAATTACATGCAAACAGGCTCTCTCCATAGGGATAATGGTTTTTCTTAACTTTCAACATAGTATAGAATTATTCATACACGCTTGAAATGAAAAGAGCAATCTATACACTCAAAAAAAAGTTAACAAAGAAAAGGAATTGGAAACACACTAACATTCCAATCTAGAGATGTAACATCCTTATTGCTGGGCACCTCAGTACCTCCCTTCTGAATGCAGTGAGGTAAGACTAATTGGTTACTACTGTTGGAGCCAGCATTGTCCTCCATATTCCAGATTCTGGCAGTCGAATCTCCAGACCTAAAAGAATAAATTAAATGTTTTTTTTATATCACTACATTCAGACACGTGATTGCTGGAAGAAGAAATTACCCGAAAATTTCTTCTCAATTTTTTTTGGTGCTTAATTTTTACTTATTTTCTTTTAATATAAAAAATAAATAAGAGTGACATTTTTAAGCAAAAAAGCAACATTTCAACATTTATAAAACTTAAAGAAAAAAAATGTTTATCAAATAAATGTTTTTTTTCGCCAACACATAAAAATATTTGTATGTATATACATATATATATTGAAAAAAGTCATATTTCTCCTTTTTCACACCACCTTCATGGCACAAAAAGATTTAAAAAGTGGTGAAATCCACGGCAATACATGGAAAAATATATGAGAAAATTATGTTGTACATTGACGATGAAATCACATAAATTGGACGTGGAAAAAAGTTCATTAAATGTACATTTCCAATGCACGCATTGTAATAAATAGTATCTTTTTAAAAATATGAATTTTTTTTTAAAAAAATGCAAAACTCAATTGTGATAACAGCCGAAAAATTTTTTGAAAAAAAATTATAGAATTATTGCATCAAATAGTGAGTACTCAAGTGTGCGAGTTTAATTTCCCATATCATAATGTCGGGAATTTAAAAAAAAATCATGTGAAAATCAACAGGAATAATTGGAGAAAAAAAGTATCTGCCTCGTATTCTTGAAATTTATTGTGCTGGTAAGGGTGAGTAAATATATATTTCACAAGATTTTGCTAAAGTTATGGAATAATTTAAATTTTAGAATACCGGAACTCAGAAAAAGTTTTGTTACAATATAAAAGTCAGTGGATCATGGAAGTCCACAAATCAGAGGTCTTGAGAAACGTCGAATTCTGTAAATTATCAGAAGAATCAGACGTCTATATCTGACATGTCATAGTAGTAAAAGAAGCTAAACATAGTGTGATAACAATATTTTAGAAACAAGTTTAAATTATTAAAAGTTTTAGAAACAAGTTACAAATTAATAAAAAATTTTCTATTTAACTATTTTCAAAAAAAAATAATTTGCAGATACCCAGATGCAAGTAAATCTGATGTTGGATTCCAAGCACAGATGAACACTTCTGATTCATGGCCTCTGAGTATAGTGGTGCGGCTGCTCAGAATTTCAATACTACCATCTACATCCATATTTTCAGAGTGATTTGCTGCTAGACAACAACAAAATGAAATTTAAACAATGAATACTTTAATGTTAGAATAAAAAGTTTACAATAATTAAAATTAATTTTTTGAACACAGAAACAAAGGCAAAAGAAAANGCTCGCGTTGTAATAAATAGTATCTTTTTAAAAACATCAAAAATTTTTTTAAAAAGTGCAAAAATCAATTGTGATAACTGCAGAAATTTTGATTCAAAAAGAGGATAGAATTATTGCGTCAAATAGTGAGTACTCAGAGGTGCGAGTTCAATTTCCCATATCATAATGTCTGGAATTTAAAAAACTCATGTGAAAATCAACAGGAATAACTGGAGGAAAAAAAAGGATCAGTCTTGTATTCTCGAAGTTTATCACGCTGGTAAGGACGGAATAAATGTCGCATTCACAAGATTTTGTAAAGTTATGCAATTATTTAAATTTTAGAACACCGGAACTCAGTAAAAGTTTTGTCGGAATATAAAAGTCCGTGGATCATGGAAGTCCACAAATCAGATGTCTTGAGAAATGTCGGATTCCGCGAATTATCAGAAGAATCAGACATGCCACAGCAGTAAAAAAAGCTAAACTTAGTGTGATAACAATATTTCAGAAACAAGTTTTCAAACTTATGCAATGCACAATAATAAAAATTACAATTTAAAAGAAATATTACACTAAAAAAAATATAAATTACATATAATAAAATAGATAATTGATGGATAAAAAATAGATGTGGTATATTGCTAAATTAACCTGACTTATTTCAAGTTATTTGCAATTATCCTACAAAACTCATTGTACTAACTCTAAGAAAATTCAGTCTGATTGAATAATTTGTTTGCACATTTTCTAGTCTAGTTACCGTTAAAGGCATATAGCAAATTATAAAGAGCCTAAACAAATACCAGACAGAAGAGAAAATTTTGGAAGCTTTTCCAATTAATCTGGCACTTTTCAAAATACATGTTACATATGTAAAGACTTGGATTTCCCAATTAGTCTATGGTAAGCTGCGGTGACTAAGGGTAAAGAGTATTCACCTCCCAATGAAGCAACCGAGATTTGAATCCCATTGATAGCTGGTTAATAGAATTTGGCTCCCAGCTCGTACCAACCTCAGTACTGATGTAAAATATCCTCAGTAGTAGACAGATCGTGGATTAGGATCCCCTTGCTGAGGAGCTAAGAATGGAAAATTTTCTTGGTTTTCCTCAGCATGCAACACAAATGCAGGTCAGTACCATCAAAAAGTCCTCCACAAAGGCTAGTTCAACCCAATGCTTGATCTAGGAATTCCCTTATCTTCTGAGTTGGGCTCAAAATTACTAGTTGAACATTAATAGTTTGAAACTCAGAATTGGGTGAGCTGTTCAACTCTGGTTATAAAATTAGCCTAAGGCAACTTCAACCAGCAATCATAATTTAACACTACTAAAAACTGCAACATCTTGAAATAACAGCAGATTTGTAATGAAAACTCAAATATCTATATTTAGTTAATGCAATTCATATTGTCACAATGACATAATGCAATGCTAGAAATTTGATGTTAAAGTACAAGCATTTGAAGTTATATATTACATAATTAAAGAACAAGAATAGTTATTATTCTTTATTTAAGATTTTTTTTTAGGTTATTTAACCTACTTCAAAAATTCAGTTTTAAAAAATAAAAATTACTGAAGCAATGAACTGGAAAAAGCTGTACAAAATTAATCTTTTTTTTTTATAATCTTTTTACTGTACTGCATAAAGATTTTGAGATTTTTGATTAAATTGCAGAATTGCTACATTAAAAACAAAAAGTTCTTTGAAATAACCACACAAAAAATTTACTGCATCATATATAATTTTGAATGCATAAAGAGTAACAAGCACAGTTCAAAGTTTAATTAAATTAATGATCATGTTAAATGAATGACAAAAAAAACTATCTTCAATAGCAAAAAGGGTGTTAGATTTAAGGAATCATTTACAAATTGAATTTGTAGCTGTGTACATCTTAAATTGAATAAAAAAATTTCTATTTAACTATTTTCAAAAAAAATAATTTGCAGATACCCAGATGCAAGTAAATCTGATGTTGGATTCCAAGCACAGATGAACACTTCTGATTCATGGCCTCTGAGTATAGTGGTGCGGCTGCTCAGAATTTCAATACTACCATCAACATCCATATTTTCAGAGTGATTTGCTGCTAGACAACAACAAAATGAAATTTAAACAATGAATACTTTAATGTTAGAATAAAAAGTTTACAATAATTAAAATTAATTTTTTGAACACAGAAACAAAGGCAAAAGAAAATTCAGTTAAATTAAAATTGTACAATTAAAATTTTATGCAAACAAATAGGCAATATTAAAAATGCTTCCCATTTTTAAGAATAATAAAAGGACAAAAAATCACTAATGATAAATTAATAATGATTGAAATATTTTCAATCTGTGATCCACAAAATAGATTTAAATGCAAACTTATTTTATTGTGTTTTATAACTAGGAATATTTGCCCCCCACTTGCATAATGCATCAACTCCTACTACTTACACTCCTTTACAAAATATGAGAAAGAAACACCATTTTTCTGGTAAAAGTTCTTTAAAATGTTTGGCATTCTCAAATACTTTTAAAATGATCAATTTTATACTTTTATGTTTGCCTAAGGCATTTCATTATTACAACCAAAGTTATTATGGATTTTTTTTCCCCAGTCTCATGTTCTCAAAGTTTATCCAAAGTTGCATTTTCCCCAAGCAAATATGTGTTAAAAAAGTATTTATCGCACGTAAATGAGAACTCGGGGAGAATGGGTGCTGGTAAGGAAGAAAGCTAAGCCTCATTAATGACATTTTGCGTAAGTAACCAAATCTAAATTTTAAATTAGCGGAACTCTGAGAAAGTTTCCACGGAATATAAATTAACGATTTGAGGCCCAATACTTGATCCAGGGGTTTTCTTGCCTTCTGGATTGGGATCAAAATCACATGGTTACAGAGTTGAGCAAAAATTGGATCGGCTGTTCAACTATGTAAATAATATAAAATCAGCAGTCTTAAGGTTCACGGAATTTAGCGAATTATCGAAAGAATCACGTGACTTTTATAATAAGATTGAGCATCTGAAAACAATTAATTGCATCATCAATCTCAAAAAAAAAGGCAAAAAGTCCCTCAGAAAAGGAAGAAATTGGATTCACACTGCAGAGTTCGGATTTTTCCTTAGAAGAAAACTATTTCTACTGGACATTTTTATTTCTAGGAGAAACTAAAAATGGACAATACCATTGTTTAGAAATAGATATTATAATAACCATTTACATCCAAATAATATTATACCAGTAATTTAAAAGTTTTTCACACCTACTTTTTCAAAAAATATTACCTGTTTATTTAAGTTTATACAGAACTTTAAAATAAATGTACTATATTATTTAAGAGTTGGTTTAAGCATATATACTTAACAGTATTGAATTTTAAGAATTATTTTGCTATTTGTAACTGTGAATTTCAAAGTATGATTTGCCATACTAACATACTAAAATCACACTACTAAGTCTACTAACTTATTAAATGATTTATTTAATAAATTAAATTTCATCAGTTCTTTACATAATTATGAAATTAGGTTCTTAGACTCATTTAGATAAAATATTACAGCTGTTATAATTTCTTTAAAAAAAAACATTGTTTAATTTTCTTTTCAATGGTTGCCTTTTAGCTTTCACTTCTTTAAAAATATTGCTTTAAAATTTATATAATGTGATAATTGATACTATCATTTAAATTAGATTGCAATCATAAACTGTTTATTTTAATTGAGCAACAGTTACTTTTATTTGAGCAAAGATAATTAATTTTGCAAACCTTAATGCACAAAATTAGAAGAAAAAAAATTTGAATTTAAAAAAAATGCAAATAATTAAATAAATTTTTTGAAAATTTGTTTTTTTTTTCTTCATTTTTTTTTTAAGTTACATGAATTAACTTAATTTGAAAAACAGTTCATAAACAGCAGAGGTGCCAATTTTCCAAACTAGCTTTCAATTTTCAGAAATACAATAATGCAGAAATATATACAGTTGGATTTTACGGCATTCACATCAGCACAATTTTAAGGTGTAGATGTACTTGGAATAACTACAAATAAAATCACTGGAATATAAAATTAGCCACTTTAAAATCCAATCTGCAGAAACGGAATTATTAAAATAGCGAAGCAAAGTAAAGCCATATTTTAAAAAATCATTACCCTCATTTTGTAAAATCAAATTTTTGTTAAGCATTTGTTTCAAAATTGAAAAACTTTGTGCTTTTTCTCATCTAAAAAATTAGAATTTTCTATTCTCAAGTTTTTAAAGATGTGTAGCATATAAATTACAAATTTTATTACTGACCCCAACAAACAAAAATAACAAAGTTGAAGGCATTGATTACACTTTTTAGGGAAATTAAAGGAAGAGAAATTAAAAAAAAAATTATGGAGGAGGATTCCAGATGAATGGAGTAAAGTTATGGAATGCCTATCATCATTCATTGACAATAATCACCATAAGACAATAATCAATGACAGTAATCAATGACAATAATCATCATGACAAAAATAAGAAAAATTTAGTTTCAAAGAAAAAGATACTCTGAGAGATACAAAAACTTTTATAAACTTTTAAACCATGTTGAATATTTTGATTACAATTTTGTTAAAAAAGCAAATATGCTAATATTTCACGACTCTTTTGAAAAATAAAAAATTAAAGCTCATGCTTAATTAAAATGTCAAATGCAATTTCCACAAAAATAAAAGATAAATGTAGTGATTAACTTTCAGCATATTTGTAAAACTTAAGTTTGAAATATTTTTTCCTTGAGATGCTGGTTTATAAAACCAGAGTCTTAATAAAATCGGAGGTTCTTGGATGAATGTAATTTTGATATGCAGCAGGCAATGTACTACTTAATTCTACATAAATATATAATGTTAATAAAATTAAGCATGAAATTACTATTAAATAAAATTAACACTTAGAAAAGGGTTACTAAATTAAAAAGTAGGTAGCAAGGAAAATTATATGTCACTGAAATTATAGTATGATTACTTGAAATTAATATTCTAAATGGTTGATTTAGAACTAGCCCTTATTGCCTTTTTATCATCTTGCATTTTAACCCCTAAAAATCTTTGCTCTCAGCATTTCAGATTTAAATTTAGGTTCTTTTGCTTCTCTATAATGAGAAAAGATTAAGTTTTAGAATAGATTGCTGAAAGAGGGTAAGATGAGATTTCCTTGCTTTTTTTATTTCGTGTTTCTGCTAAATTGTTTCGGTACATATATTGTACATCAAATAGTTTATGAAGTTTAAAAAAGTTTAGTTACGAACCACAAATTTTATAGTTATTAATAATTAAGGGGAAAAAACTCATTTTAAACAGATTATGGAAATTCGCATGAACCATAATTTTTATTACTTAACCATAATACTGCAATCTTGTCAAAGAAATTGTAATTATGATGGATAAATTGTAATAATTGGCACCTCTGTATAAATTATTAACTCAAACACAAACATAAAGTACTAAATTCCAAGACAAAAATACTAAAAATTATACATAAAAATAAATATCTCACCTCCTTCTTCGCCATTTGCATTAGCATTCTCAGTTTTGACAACAGAATTCTTGGAGTTGTGCGCTTGCTGTTGTCTTAAAAGAACAGCGTCTGGCATTACTGCATCAATTAGGGACAAAGATTCAATCATGGTTTCAGAACCATCCTGCACAAGAAGAAGAAATTTAATTTATGGAACAAAAACAATAAAGACAATAAATGGATAATAAAATATCCACTATGATAAAATATATTCGTCTCACTCCCCTTTTCACTCTTCTTTTTGTTTCAAACTCCAACGGAAGCATGAAAAACTTTAAATTGAAAAATGAACATTGTTGATAATCTTGAATAGAATTCTTGTATTTTGGTGGTAATTTGATCGGAAATAAAAACCCTCCTCAAAATTTTTTTCAAAAAAAAAATTTTTTTTTCCTGCTGGTGAAGAAAGGTAACCCCTTAGAAACTCATTCAATGTATGTAGAGAGTGACAGTTACAACTATATTGTATTCTGAATTTAGGAAATTAATTGTTGTTGCTCTGACACTGACAATAACTGCAGTGGCTTATGGATAGAGATTCTGCAATTCATAATAGAATCAAGTCAACTTCGGATTATTATTAACATATATATAGATATTTCTTTTTGGATTATTAATAATTAGAATAAAGTCAACTTTGGAGTCAACCTGGCAATTAAATAACCCTTCCAAATCGTTTTGTAGAGGGCATTTTTCTCATACAATCAATGAAGTTGTCAATTGTGACATGAACTTCGAACATACTGACAAATAGTACATATAAAAAAAATTAAAATGACACATATTTTAATATCATATTTGTAAAAACTTGATATAATACTTTTAAATAGTGAAAAAATTGAAAATAATGTGGAACATTTTTTTTTTTAATATTCAAGCAATAATTCTAGGATGTTTACTTTGCATATTTTATCTCTTGGTTATAGTATATATATATAAATTTAAGGCCATTTTAGAAACTTTGCAAAAGCTACTTTTTAGCTATTATTTAGCTATTATATTCAAATTAGAACATTAAAAAAAATTTTATTTGAATAATAGATTTTCAAAATATTTTTTTTTCCTTGTCCAAATTCAATATATAATTAAAATTCAAATAGTCAACTAAAAGATTTAAAAAGAAAAAAAAATTATTAATACATAATAAAAGATTTCCTAATAAAATGTGAAAATGCCTCAGTTTTATGTTTACTATAGTTAAGATAAATAATACGCAAATCGTTTATATACATACTGCAGGTGAAAAAAAAAATTTCAATTGAGTTTTTGAAAAACAATTTAATACTATTTGAAATTTTATGAAAATATACTTCTATTTAGCAAAATTTTACTCTTTTAATAATTTTTTTATTAATTGCAACAAAGAGCTTATCTGATTGCAACAAAGAGCTTCAGATAAAAGGAACTTTTACATTTAAATTCTTGCTTTGTTTGTGATTTTCAATGAAAAATTCATTGGTTATTGTTTCCTTAAACAATAAATATGAAAAATTAATGAAATATTTCAAGTTTTTAATTAATAATCAAGATTATTTAAGGTATTAGATTAGTTTCAACAACTTGTACTTAAATATTTACATAAAAGTTTAAAAAACTAGTTTGTTTTAAGAGTAAATACTCATAAAACTAGTAATAAAAATTATAATTTATTTTTGTTTTTTAAATGCCTATTTTTAGGTTAAAATAAGGCCTTTTTTTGCACATATGCTAAACACAGTAAAAAAATTTCTATCAACCAAAACAAAAAATCCTTTGAAAAATTTTTTTAGAAGGCTATAAACTATGTGGTGAACTATTTTCTTAACAGTAAGTGAGTATACTACTGAGTTCAGGTATAAGGGATCGATGTAATTAAAAAAAAAACAAATTTTTAAACATTTTTGCACTTGTCTTTGTGAAAAAAGATGCATAGTAAATTAAATTCTACTTTTTTTCTCTTAGTCTGTAATTAAAAACATGTATGCTATAATCATGAAATTTGCTCATGAAAATTTTTAGCCAATTATTTTAAAAACAACTCGAGATATCATGTTTAAGGTGGTGTAAGATGTTAAAAAATCTGATTTTGAGATAAACACATTTAAAAACCTAAAATCACTAGTTTATCCAGTGATATCACCTTACACTAAAACTGTTATAACTTTGTAATAAATGAAATAAAAACAAAAGTATTTTTAGAAAGCTTAAATTACAGGGATTTTAAATTTATAATAAACTCAATTTCAGAAATTTTGTCCTAAATCATGTTTTTGCACTAGTCATAGTAGTTTTGCACCTTAATGTGACATAAAAATTTGAGATAAAAATATTGATAAAGAGGTTTATATGTATTACTTTCGAATTGCTTATAGTTTGCAGCCAAAAAGAGCCACCTGTGTGACGCATTACAGTTTGATAGATATAAATGATCAAACCTCTCCAATGCTGATTTCAGCTTCTGTGTACTGTAAACCTTTCTGTATGATGGAAAGGAGTGCTGCGGGAGGAACAAGGGCTCCATTTATATTCGACTGGCTGATGTGGCTTTCAATACCAAATGTATAGGCAGAGTGCGAGAAACCTAGAAAACATGCACATTAGTTATAGCATTTTAAAGCACTTCATTCGGAGTTTATATAAAAGCTAAACAACAATCAATGTCATAATATGGTTAATAAATTTAGCAATAGGTCATAATCAAGGCAGGGTTCACATATAAGCTAAATTGGCTGCAGCCAGGGTTGGCAGGTTTTTGACATGTGACAGTTTTTGACAGTTTAAACCATGGTTTAAACCGTCACGTCAAAAACCTCACTCTCAAAAATGTCGAAAATGTCAAAAACCTATATTCATATGTGAAATTTAATTAATACATAAAATTTAT